ACAAGGAGAGACATGATAAGCAGATTGAAGAGAGCAGAGCCTTTAAGTTCTTGGCTGGCCTGGACCTAGTGTATGAGGGAATAAGGTCACAAATTCTTGGAAGAGATGAAATGCCCGAGTTACATCATGTTTATTATCTGGTACGGAATGAAGAGGTCAGGAGAAAGGAGATGCAAGTTGACACTCAGATGCAACCAACTGAACAATTTGTAGAACATTCAACCCTGATTTCTACAAATCAAAAGGGGAACAAATATCCAGACAAAAGGCATCTTAAGTGCACTCATTGTGGAGGTGAAAGACATGTAAAAGAAAAGTGTTGGGTCCTGTATCCTCACCTGAAGCCACCTGCATTGAGAAAAGACAAGAAGCAACAGAAGGGTCAAGCGGCATGTGGGAACCTTGTCACTAGTAACAATGGTGATAGCTCACAGAGTATACCAACAATGGCTTGTTCTTCCATGGGGCAGGTTGCTAATTCCTCTGGAGCCGGTACCTTGGGCTTCACTGCTGGTGAGGTAGAGGTCCTTAGCCGGGCTTTAGCCCGTCTAAGGAATAACTCTTTTGCTTCCACCTCTTTTGCCAGATCAGGTATAGTCTCTGCTTTTAGTGCAACTAGTCCTCCTATTGACTCTACTTCTTGGGTTATTGATTCCGGTGCAACTGACCACATGACACATATGTCCTCCTTATTCTCTTCATATCACTTGTTGTCCGGTCAGGATAAGATGAGAGTTGTTGACGGGTCTTTCGCCACCATCTATGGAAAAGGGGTGGTTGACCTAAGCAAGGACCTCTCTCTTAAATCAGTTCTGCATGTTCCTAGTCTTATCTCAAATATTTTGTCTGTTTCAAAACTTACCAAAAATTTGAACTGTAGCATAACCTTTTTTCCTACTCATTGTGTCTTTCAGGACAGATTGACGAGGAGAACGATTGGGAGTGGTCATGAGTATGGAGGCCTCTACTATTTTGATGTAGACATCGGTTCAGCCTTACAAGCATCTGCTGCTAATGGTCCGGAGAATGTGGAGTCAATAGCTAGGTTGCATCTATGGCATGCTAGGCTAGGTCATTTACCTTTTTCTTCATTGGAAGTGTTGTTTCCCGAATCGTTGAAGGGCATTTCAAGTCAGAGTTTAGTCTGTGAAGTATGTCAACTGTCAAAACAATGTAGAACTATTTATCCAATTTCCAGTAATGAAATTCAAGCTCATTTTGATTTGGTTCATTCAGATGTTTGGGGCCCTTCACCTATTGTTTCTATTGATGGCTTTCGTTACTTTATCAGTTTTATTGACCATTGTTCTTGATGCACATGGATCTACCTGTTAAAAGGACGAGATGAAGTGCCACAGATAACCATGGCATTTTGCAAAATGATTGAAACACAATTTGATAAGAAGATTAAGCAATTTCGGTCAGATAATGCTGCTGAATATTTTGAAAAATTCTTGAACTTGTTCATGGAAGATGTTGGCATGCTACATCAATCATCTTGTGCTAATACCCCTCAATAGAATGGGGTTGCTGAGCGCAAGAATAGACATCTATTGGAGACAACTCGAGCCTTACTATTCCAGCACAAGGT